ATAAATTCAAGTCTTTGAAAAATTTATTTCACAAAATAGTCAGATTTAATAAGCTGACTTAAAATAAAAAGGATAAATGCCTTTTTTTAAACTGAAAGCAGAGAAGCTGAATGTGGAAGATTTTTAAAGAAAAAAACTCATATGATATAAGGTACCTATCAATAACTTATAATTACATTTGTCTTTTAACTTTTATTAGTTCACAGGTGCTCAAACTTTGTAGCCCTCCTTAATCTCTTAATAGTCTTACTTAACTAACCAACTGTTCTATTGTTCTTATTAAATACTATATATTAACAATCACCAATTGACAAAATACGTCTTTTTTTCAAAAGTGTTTTTAATCATCTTCTATTTTTTCTTATAGATTTATTGCCAGTGTCGGAGAAGATTGCAGATAGCGGTGGATTATGGAATTGAACCGTTATTGTTTGGGATGCCATCCGTTGTGTGTGATAACGGGCATATCGATCAAATGTTCGATTCGGTGTGCCTTACTATGTTTTTGTCTTTTTCGCGGTTAGTCCCGATAGGAACTTCTTGACCACGGCTAGTAACTGATTCTAACACTGTGGATCATGATATGGTCCAGTGGTCTGACGAAGAATTCTGCGGGATGACTGATCTAGTTCAGTAATTGTCGAATTAAAAACATATATATACATTGTAATTTATTGTGTTTGTCATTTGTGCGATTTTTAATAAATTAGTCAATATGAAATAAGTTGAGCTCGATTGTTCGTCTGGCTGTACCGTCCAGTTTTAACTCGTCAGTTCTGGTTCTGGTGGACACAGGGGCTTGAGAATTTGGTTTAGCTATATTTGGACCTAAAATCGGGTGCCCATAGCCAATCCACACCACCAGTTTCGGCACGAGGCTGACGTCAATCTCATGAATATGGACTATGACTCTATGACTGTGAATTTTTGGAGGAAACGGAGATCGTGTCTGGGGAAGGAAAATACATTGTACGTGCATTATAGGAGTTTTTCAACGGTACTAAGCACTTTTTGTACAAAAAGAAATTTGTGTTTTTTTATGCAAGAAAGAGTTGTCGACTTTTCGACATCAAGAGCTTTCCACCCTTCTCGTTTTATATTAAATATCATCATTGGACGTGGTATTTTTATCGAAAGGTGATCTAAACTACTTCAACGTGTCAATTACCTAGTACTCTTGACACCATAGTTTAGGTCCAAATATAGCTGTAACAAATTCTCAAGTGCCTGTGTTTTAAACCAATTATCAAGTCGCCTATATAGAGTATACGTTTGTGATGTTCTTGTGCGACGCGCTAGGTGACGTCAAAACCAGCCGTCTGAAAGACAGACCCATGTGTTCACTGACGAAAGGGACAACATCCCCGCTCAGGTTACCTCTCTTTTGACGAGATCTTTGTTATGGCGTTGCACCGCTGTTTTCTTCTTAGACGGTGGTCAAATACGGTACTGAAAACCTAGTGACTAACGTCAGATTAATTCCATGCACAAGGAGAATATTTTCATGATTTAATTTAAATAAAATGATAATAACTATAACTATTCCAGCTTTAAAATGTTTACCTTTCTTTGTTCTGGGTGTATAAAACGTATTTTTTGTGGATTCTAGTTTTTGTTTTTAGTTTAATTTGTTTTTGTTTTTTGTTGTCATTTCTCCATAACGAATTAACATAGCTGTATAAGTGGATCTACTGACGACCTGTCACTATTGCCATAAACATTAAAACATAATTAAAGCCACAGTTTTTTTGTGTACTTTCGAATAACGACACGTTTTTAAAAGGGGGTTACTTGGGTAAAATTTGGAACATTGGGAAATGGCAATACAAATGTGAGTCGCTGTCTCGAATTATCTAGGCCCAGCTCCGGTTACGTCTGACTTTGTGAAAGTTCGCAGTGGACTGATGTCCGAGCGATTTTGTAGACCTCTGACTAGGGGCTAAGCTTACCCTTGTTCGGAGTGGATTCATTAAGGAGTGGGTCAAGGGCAGGGTCTTGGTAGGGGGCAAAGGGATGCAACAAGCAGTGTTTGTGTTTTGTTTTTCCGTTTGAAAACTTAGTTGATTCACCTATAGCTACGTATACCGGACTATAGGAAGGTACGCGCTTGGATGATACCTGATTTGTACACGTACGGGTCCTTACATGTAAAGGCTTGGTACAAGATCCTCCATATGTTCATCTTAACAACTTTTAAACAGCACAATACGAAAAGAAGTAAAGATGACTAAAAATATAGTGATACTACTTATTCATGTAGCGACATCAATCAAATGTTACAGTGTAACTATAATAAAGACCTGCTGAAGAACCTGGAATTTCTATCATTTTCCTTTTAAAAGAAGCTTCTCCAAGTTGTATTACATCGTGTACCATGCTACATGCAATCTTAAATCCTTATTATGGCGTCATAATGAAAAAAAAAGATGGACACCTGTGACCTGTTCTGTTTATTTGATTGTTTTAAACTTATTGTTAACATCGATCGCCAATGTGGTCACTGGTGACGTTCACAGCGGGAGTTACTTCGTCAGTGACACGTAGTGGTGAACAAGGCGTCGTAAACCTTCTGTTCATAACGGGCTCTAAATGGCTTCCTTCACTTTTTTTACTCGTTGGTTATTTTCTTTGTTCAAGTTCTTAGCCTGCTCCCAGCTCGGCCTTTCAGATGATTATCTTTTCTGACATGGTTCGTTTATAACATAACGGCGTCATTTCATTTTAGTACATTTCTCTTTCTGATGTTATCTTTTTCTGACCTACAATGTGGTATAGCTTCTACTGTTGCTCGGCTTCTAGCTTCCGATGTTCGTTCTATCGTATTCCGAACTTCCATCCAGTTCCCCTCATGTACACAGAAACCGAGTTCGTACAGCTGATCTTGTGTACACACGTGTTACTGATGGACATTTTGTCTTTATCATCTTGACATTTGCTAGTCAGACCAGGATTCGAGCCCGAGCCCTCCGAACTTTAGACGTACGTTCTAAACAACAGAGCTTGGGACAGCAATCAATATAATAAAGTTCAAAGCAACAAAGACAAAAATATTTTTTACGCTCTTTGCAGTCTTATTATACCCTTGTACAGAATTAAGTGTCCGGTCAACTCCTCCAAAATTACTGGGTCAATGTCAAAGAAACTTTTCAGATGTGGTAACTACCCGGCCCCTGATATTGTGCATCTTTTTATGGAGTTATGGCCCTTTGTTGAAAAACCCTTGCCCGGATAACTTTTCCTAAACTACTTGGCCGATTTCAACGAAAGTGTTCAGATATGGTAGTTACCTCCTGACGTTGTGCAACCAGGTAGTATTTTTTCATTCAAACTCTTTTCTATAGAGTTATGGTCCTTTGTAGAAAATTTCTTGTCCGGCCAATTTCTCCTTAACAACTGAGCCGAATTCAACGAAAAATTACAGATATTTTTTATGGGAACTACCCCCTGACGTTGTGTGAATTCAAGTAGTATTTTTCATTCCGACAGGATTGACTTCGTATTGAAGTTGTGCACCGGGGTATAATGTATTCATTTCGTTTCCATTTCAACCCTTTTTAATGAAGGACAGATATTCCTTTCGTTCTAATTGTGGGATGCGGGGGTATCTTAGTAAGGCTCTGGATAACAGTTCTAGTTTGGTTAAAAATACAAACTATTTTTTCTAATTAGTTGGACATTTTCGCGGGAACATGCTCGTGCTTTCAGTGGTTACCAGTTGTGTCAGGCGTCGAATCATTCTGGAATTTCCTTCATAATTTCAAGTTGGCGTCACTTTATAATTAAATTCGGATTTGAAAACAGTCACTTAATTGGTTCTTGCTGTTATTGGACTATAACGATATTTTTGGTTGGAAGGTTCATAAAAAGACTGTACAAAAGAAATATATGATGTAGGACTGATATTGTTATTTTGCAATACACTGAAGTGAATGGATTCAATTCTAAACCAAAATTACTATAATAAATACAGCTTTTCTTTAGCAATTGGAGCATTCTTTCCTCCTCCCTCCGTGATGACAGCTTTCTCATTTACCCATTCACCCCTGAAGACACATTTGAACTCTTCCAATTCAAAGGTTGGAATAATTCATTATGAAATTTCAGGTGTGAATGAGTTAACGAACTCAAATAATAAAATTAAACTTATTCTCGGAAGATGATATCGTGTTACAACATACCATGCATCACATCTCGAACCATAGAAATAGTGTTAGAGTGAATATTTTGATGTACAAATAACAAAAATTTATCAAATTTACATAAATGAATTTAGATAAATAATGGGCATCCTCGCCTGCTAAAACGGAGATACACACAAGCTCTTAAAATATGATGTTCCAATAACTAAATAGGAAATATATTCATCCTTTTCTAAAACCGTTTTTCAAATTTTCTCGCATTAGGAAACAGTATGGCAACGGTTATTACCGACATGGAACCAGTAAAAATGAACATTGAATTTCACCATTTTTTTAACATGTAAATTATATCAGCATAAATATACTTTGAACAGTTGAAATAGTCATTCATACGAATGCACCGGTAAACCGGAAGTAGCAATACCGATGTGTTTCAACTCGAACACGCCTACAACTGGCGTACACCCAAACAATGTCTGCCCCGGAGAAGAAATTAGTTCGCTCGAAGAGTGGTTTGCGGATGGTTCCTGTTAACTACATGCATTCCAGTCCTTTCACAGTTAATGAACCACCCTGGGTGCCAGATAATGAGGTATTCTAACGCGTAAAACTTCACTGTGTGTCTGAATCCATGTCATTTGCCAGTGATTTAGTCAATGTTGATTTCACGGAATGACAACAAAATTCTTATTTTCACTTTGCATATGATCAATATTTGATAAAATTGTAGGGAATTATTTGTGGGTACACATACAGCAGACATTGTTTTTTATCACTGATACAGTGAAAATAGTTGTTAATGTAAATACACGATACAATATGATATAAAAACAAGTTCTTCCTCGAGAAGTTGGGTGGTCACACTCGTTCTTGTCGAGACAAACTGACAGCGGAAGAGAGTGAAGGCAGCTGTAATTGGACGCACTGACAGCGGAAGATATGGACGGACATACATGACACCTTTTCCTCTTTAGTTTAAACTTTATTTTATTGATGTTTAATTACAATAGTACATGGTTATAAATACAGAAAAGGATCCAGAAACAAGTACATAGTACTTATGTAAATCCGTCTCCTTTTCCTCTTTGAGTGAGGTTTTCCTTCTGAACCCCAATATCTTCCATTTTATCCCTTTGAATGCATACAACCCTTCGGGTGTCAGACGTTTCGCCCCAAAACCGTTACTTCCCGAAGAGTTCGCCCCAAAAAACCATTATACCACAATTATTTCGCCCCAAAAACATATAACGCCCCCTTCCTAAAAAACATGAGCTTGCTTATATTCCCATTATTATGTGATTGTGTTAACCGTGCTAAGTGAAATAACTCTTGTTTCGTGTATACTATGGAAAGGACGCTGCATCAAATATATATATACATATAATTTTAGTTTTGCAAAGCCGGAATAGTAAAAGTGATATGTTCCTTTAACGTTCGTTTTCAGTTTATGTTTCTAGAAGATGTGACTTACGAAATGTAGCATTGTGTACATTCTTTCATCATACACAGACATGTGTGGCTTTAAAATATACAACAAATCCATGTTTTCATGTGCTATTTAATGATAAAGAACATATTTCTTTTAGGTATGTGTACATCTTGTCATCAAACTTTGATGCCTGTAGCTATTAAACAAACAGCAAAGCCATATATCGACGATCTGGAGTAAATTTCTTAGATCAGTGAGGGAATTATTTTCCTGGTTCCTGAACATTTTGGGTCGCTGCATAATGATAGACTAATCAACAAAAAGACACGGTCCAGAAATCTTCTTAACAAGATTAATATATTCCGTTTTCCGTCCAGATCAGTACGGTCTGTCGATTAGTCACTCCATGACCTACAAAAATGGCATTCGCTCAGTTGGGAAATTTTGAACATTTGAAAATCATTTTTGTACGGCATATACATGTATTGCAATTAGTACTAAAATTATAACAATTTTAATACTAATATTAAAAGAGGTGTGAAAATCGGTCATGCCTTACTACAGGTACTAGTGTCGTCTTGTTAATACACCCATAATATATAAACAAGGTTGCCCCATAGTAAAATGACCCCATTCCATAAAACTTGTGAATTTGTCATAACCTTTATAATATCACACCAGGAGCAGTCTAGATCGACAGGAAATATATTTTTTCTTTAATTTGATGTATGATTTTCTATATATCATGCAGCAGACTTTTCGGTAGACTTCATGAAACATTGAAAAACTGTTAAATTTCAGTTGGTTTGTCACTGTGCTGTCCCCGGCATAACACCCTTAGTCCCTAGTGGGTAGTGCCAAACACAAGGCATGTACACTATTCAATGTGAGTGCAGTGTGCCTAATACCTTATTACCCCAAATCCTAGACATTTCAGTACCCAGAAGTTTCGGTACCTAAGAATGATGGAGATTCTTGAAATTTATATCAGCAACACACATGACACAAAAAACAAACAAAGAACGAAGTTGAAATGTTTGTGTAAGTGCCGAAAATCTCATGAAGTATTGAAATGACCTTCGGGAAGTACCAAAAAGTCTTTATAAACAAGGACAGAAACATATTGGTACCGAAACATCTAAGTACCAAAATGTGTGTACCCCTTTGAAAAAAATATTAAAATAAATAATTGTGTACCCCGTTTTCCAAGAGACTTTGACCATTGCCATTGGACATAGAGTGTATAAGATAATGAAGCTAATGAGATTGAATGTCACTGGTCTGGTTTTCATCAGTTGTACTTCAGGAATGCCAAAGTTCATTGGGTAAATGATATAGGATAATAATTTAATTATAAAACGTGTTTCATTGCACCTTAGAACTGAAAAAATACTATGCATATTTTCTTGCACTTTTGTCCGGAGTTTGCTGGATGGATGAAGATCTAGAAGTTCAATATAAGAGCTATACGCATGAAAATAATTTTTTATATCAGAAATTATCTCAATAAACCATCAGTAATTGTTCATATAATGTAGATATATAGCATTGAAATTTCTCAGCATTAATTATTATTGTCGTTGATGTAAATAGCTGTTATGTGTTGCTCTTCTTTGTCCATAAAAAAAAAATGCTGCTGTTGATGTCTTAAATTCAAGCTAGCTGCCATTACGCTCTGCTGCCAGATCTTTTTAAAAGACCATTGTGGTGATATCGATTAATAGTTTGTTTATTGGGTATACATTTTGATACAGAGAGATACACAGAGGTAGCTACATAAGTTACTTCATATATGCATGACTTACAATGTAAATGACAACATTATATAACTTGAGACTCCTATCTCATGTATTCTTTTACTGGCATACACTCATGATCACTGTTTAACTAAACTTAACTTATCTTCTATGCAGGACTTTCCTTATATAGGAACCTGTATAGTGTTTTGTTTTGTCAGTTAAATTTCCAATTCCTCATATATATGCAATGTGTACTGTATATTATTTGATTATTTTTTTAAATATTTGTTTTAATATTTGTTTCTTTCTATTCTAGTGTGTCGTGTGTATGAACTCCTCATGCAAAGCCAAGTTTGATTTTCGCAGAAGAAGGGTGAGTGGTTTTTTTTTTCTTTTCACATTTATTGCCCAGTGGATAAGTGCATGATGATTTTACCAAGGATTGTTCCAAAACAAACAATATCTGTACACCTCTTTCATGGCACTTTAAACAATTGTGTGTTGAGGAAATGTTTTTGCAATCTTAGAAATGTGTGGTTTATGATGTTACAATTTGTTGGTCACAAGACCCTATTTTGTACTGATTTAGCTAGTGCAAATCTTGCCACTCTTACAAAATATAGCTTACTGACGTTGATTTTCTCGATTGTAGCATCACTGCCGCAGGTGTGGGCGGTGTTTCTGTAGCTCCTGCTGCGATTTCAAAGTGCCTCTGAACCGCATGTGTTTCGTAGACCCAGTCCGTCAGTGCAATGTTTGTGTCGAGATTAGCCGCAAGGAAAATGATTTTTTTGATAAACACCTGAAAACTCTGTGCAATGGTAAGACAATTATGTTGAAAGTGAGAATATTTTAGGCAAAATTTTAAAAACCAATTGAATTTTCAATGCAAAACTTTGTAAGTTTCATCCTGTCATGAAAATTCATGTCCAAGATTTTAAAGTTAATGTATATATGTACTAAGAAGGGATTTTGTGAGTGAAAAAACAATTCAGACTAGGCAACTCATTGACCAGAAGTCCAGATTTTGACCAAATNTCGGGGTCGGGAGGCACTTGAAATAAAGAAATATGGGTGGTGGAGTTTGTCATGTTAGTTAAATTATGGTTGGTGGTATCCAGGGGAAAATAAAAATTATAGGTGGTGGGGTTGAAGGATGAAATAAAATTGTGGGTGGTGGGGTANGGGGTAAAAAAAAAAGTGCCCCCTTGCCCCCAACCCCCCCCCCCCATGCATTTATTTCTGGAATAGCCCTGAGCATTTAATCCTTTAAGGAAAAGGTTTTAATTTGCATCACACCAAACTCTAGACCAATTGGAAGTCAACAAGTTTTCAGCAATGGTAATTGCTGACTTTCAAGCATTGCTGTGGAAAGTCATGTGTACACGAGAAAACATTCTTGTACAATTTCAGCATGTACATTTATTTTGTGAATCAAAATATATTGGGGGAATAAATCCAATATCACCAAATATTTATACTCAACAGTTTACCTTATATGAATACCAGTAATGCATTGTTTAATACTTGATATTATTCACTGAAGATAATAGTCTAGTAAGTATCTCAAATTAAATATCCCTAGTGAAAGGGTTACTATATCAAGGATATTGAACAAGTCTGTTTACATCAAGGAGTTACTTCCCCTTATCCCAATCATCATATCAATGTATAAATATAAGTCTGTGTTTCTTACCATGTCACCTTAAGGATAGGACTTAGATAGGCTATGCCTGATGTCTGATCCTATTGACTATTGCTTATATTGTCAATAAAATTTGTTAAAATTGAAATTGAATCAAAACATATGCAATATTTTTAAATTATGTAAAATAAAATGTCAGCATTGAAATACTCTTAGTAAAGAATAAAACAATTAACTGAAACTTTGTCTTCTCTGTAAGGTGGTGACTTTGTGTTAAAAGAGTCAGGAGATGAGATAGACGATTCTTGTTCGACATTCCGTTGTAAATTATCTACAGATAACAGGTAAGATATACATAAGGGAATTTAGGTGTCAGGTGGCAAAATGAAAAATGTACTGGTCAATCACCAAGATTTCCCCTATCAGATGTGAAAATGTAACATATTGGAGTCATGACCTGCCTGAAGATGTGGGTTTGCTCTGGGTACTCTGGTTTCCTCCCAAATTCAGACAAGCTGTGTGCTAACTTTGGGGCAAAGAATACCGATTAATATAAGTTGATATAACTTGTTTCATAATTGTTGTAAAATAAATAAAAAAATTAGGATGAAGCAATATGCTAGAATCACGATACTTCCAAAATGTTTCAAAGATTACAGAATTAAAACATTTAAATGTTGAATATTATTACTTTTAAGAAATTCATATAATTTTTTTTTATTTTATATTTTTATATTTTTTGAAGTTTTTCAACAGTACATTAAACATAACACATTATATTTCAGCCTCACATTCTTAATTTTTACAATGTTTTTTTTTGTTTGCCTTGACATTTCTTTGACATTCACATAATTATTACATCAAATTAGATACCGATTCAGAAAAACAATTATCTTCTATATAAGTTTGAAACAAGATACATAGAATATTATGCATTGTAGTTGAGAAACAAAAAAAGAAAAAGAAAAAAAAACAAACAGGGTGACTATTTTCACATGCTGAAACCAGGATATAAAGTGTTATGTACCATTGTACTGTTTTAGAAGAAGATAGGAAAGAAAAGAGTAATAAAGAGAGAGAGGGACAAGAAAGAAAATGAAGGTTGCAGAGGTGTCGAAGGATTTGACAAGGGCTTATTGTTCAATTTTGTGTCAATTTTTGTACATAGACTATTTACACGGAATACATTGGTACTATATTATTATAATTAATTTACACGGAATACATTGGTACTATATTATTATAATTAATTAACATTTCAGTTATATGGCCTGCAGCAATCTTTCCCATTTTTTTCCATTCCCTTTTAAAATTAGCGAGATAATTTTAACCATTTAATACCTACAGTAATGTATCTTTGAGTATTGTAAATATCTTTAATTAGGTTTTTCAAAGCTAAAACTGATAGACCAGTTTGCAGACATCTAGCCTTATAAATATATACTTAAATGATAAGAAGTACTAAATTATCAACATTGTTTTTTCTATCATAGAAACCAAAGATAAAATATTCTTTATTATATGTAAAAGCAAATACAATCAATAACACATCTAGCAATGATTCAAAATTTGTTAAAAACACTTGTACTTCTTTACATTACCTATTAACAAGACCTATGTTAAAAAAATATGAATTAGTAGTTAAAATATGTTGATTGATTCTAAATTGAAGCCACTGTAGTTTTGTGTTTTTACTAATTTTGAAGAGAATGGTATAGAGTTTACTCCATACCTCTGTGTTAAATTCAAATATTTCCTCCCACTTTCTACCGGTAGATATTATATTATTTTGGCATAGAGCATGGTAAAAACTTTAGTTCCTTTTTTGTGTTTAATACAAATTTCCAAATTAATTGGGATATATGGATAATCTACATTCAAATTAGAAACATCCTCCTGTGAAATGGATTTCTTGATGGAATTTATGATACCTTGATAAGTAAGAAAATTTGTATGAATGTCAAATTTCTCTGTAAACTCTTGATGGCTGTAAAACAATTTATTTCTTCTTTCTATAATTAAGTCATAAACTATTCAAAAAATTCAGCTGTAAAACCATCTCACCCAGGACTTTTATTATTTTTCATATTTTTTAAAGTATTTGAGGCTTCGTCTATAAATGAAATGTTACCCTCTAATTATATATATAATAATGATGATTCTGTTTTATCTAGTTTAGGAACATTATTGTTATAGGTATTTAAAAATGCATCTAGATTAACGTCTTTAATATTACTTTTACTTGAATATAAATGTTCATAAAAATCATTAACTTCATTGAAAATATCTTTCTGTTTTCTAATAATTTCCCCATTTCCTTTTTCTAACATTGGAATACTTTTCGAAGTAAAATTTCTATTTTCTAAATTAAAAAATATTTTGTTGGTTTTTCTCCATCTTCAACCCATTTAGCTTTTGATCTAATGATATTTCCCTTCATTTTTTGGTTGCCTAATTCTTTATAATTCCTTCTTTTTTTCTTCTACTTGATTAATATCTATATACTGTCATTGGCTTCTAGAGAATTAATTGCTTCAATGACATTCTTCTCTTGTATATTTTGCTGCTTTTTCTTGTAAGATGAATACAAGTGTTTTGCTCCTAATTTCAAATAATAATGTCTCTAAAAAAAGTTGATCATTAATTTGGAATTGAATTTCATTGTCAGAGATAATATTTAGATACTCAAAATGGTAAACAGGAAGAGTGAACTGTAATTTAACTTCAGAAATAAGCTTATTTATTAAATCAAGATATGCAATAATGAATTGTTAAATTTCCAAAGACCCTTTCCTTTTTTGAACTCATTAAACTTAAATGATATAGAAGGTGAGGAATGATCTGATCGATAGCCAGTCTCTATGCTACATTTTTTGTACATTTCTTACTAAATTGTCAGATATTAAAAAGAAATCAAGACGAGCTTGTTTTATAGGATTAGTTTTTCTCCATGTGTACCTCCTTATTTTTTGGGTGTTGTTCTCTAAAAATGTCTAGCACATCAAGTTCTTCCATCAATTCAGTTATCTTCTCCCTAGCCTTTGGATTATTTATTTGTCTATAATTTTGATATTCTATAATCAGGATTCGGAACCATTCATATAACTTTATCAAATATACATTGTACTATTTAGGAAAAGTAATGAGAAATCTGTAGATGTTCTTTTCTAAATATATAGAAGTGTAGCAAAACAACTTCAGATTCAGATCTAGTGAATCAAAGAAACCCTCTTGGATGAGGAAGACTGGTTGTTGATTGATTGATAGGTTTTACGTCCGCTTCACTACCGAGTAGTTCTGTTATCCAGCAGACGATAGACTGTTTGTAAGGGGACTGATCCTAAATACTCGTGTAACTCCTTAACTATGACAGTCACTAAACAGATTTGAGGCCATTGAAATATTTGAAGAAAATAAAACTTGTTTTTTCCACAGAACTGTCACGTTTGACAGTAACCATGACAAACACCAGCCAATACAGATGGAGAAGTTGGAGTCTGTTCAGATTCTCACCAATGGAGTGGACGCTGAAGGTAAGTTTATGTTTGCAATGCATTGCTCTAGGATGACTGATCAAATTACATCGAAAAATTCATTTCATTCACCAAATTACACTTGTATATATTGTCTTCCATTTTAGTCATTATGAAATTTTTTAAAGTTAATTTTCATATTATAAGACCTTCTTTTTCTAGATTAAGTAAATGCTTAAAATGACGTTCTGTAATTTGCTGATATAAACTTTTTAATGAATTCAAATTGGAGTTTCTACTGTACACTTGTAATTTTTCTAAAACTTTTACCGTTTTGCATTTTTGTTTGTCCTCTAAAGTCTTCCAAAGGTTGGATGATGATGGTAAGGAAGTGGTTGACTGTGTACCTGTGTTCATTGTGTTTGTATATCATTTTCAGTAATTTTGTCACCTGAGCATTTATACTGCAGAATATCTACCGACAAATCTATGTGCACAAAAAAGTGTTTTTAAATATTGATTAATGCAGGTATCGTGTCAGTATTAAAAAATAAATTCCCTTCACTTGTTGATTTTTATTTCATCAATGTTGTCATTTTGTCTGTAATGTATCCCATACCTATTGATCAGTTTTATTTCTACTTCATTGAAAATCTGATTTCATGTCTTAAATTGTTTTTTTTGTAATTCGTTCAATTTTGCCATTGAATTCATGTGTGTGCTTTCAATATTTCAGTATTTCTACCACATTGTTTTGCTAGATACATGTAGTAGATACATGTAGTGGGTACATGTAGTAGATACATGTAGTGGATACATGTAGTAGATACATGTAGTAGATACATGAAGGGACCGTTGGAATCTCGTTAATCCATTTATGCGCTTCACTAATTAGATGACAAGGTGTCTGGCTATATCTGACATTCCCAGTCCAGGGTTTACTTTTACGAGATTTTCATATTGTGAAATAAAGTGTTGCTATTCAACCTCATGGACTATATATAACGCAGACTCCGTATAAACTGGCCAAATAATTCAGTTCTCATCATCATAATTAGTTTAGTAGACAATAAGTAATGCTTATGTCTACCTACCTACAAATGTATCTATATCTTATTATCAATCAGAATTATAAATGCTTGTGTACAGGTACTTCGTTGTTACCTGATATGGTTTTGAGAACTACTTTAATTGTGAATGGCTTGTTAATTTTATGAATTTTACAAAATTCGACAATAGCTTTTGACAACTGCTAAAATTGTATCTCATTACAAATAAATAAGCATGCTAAACATTTTCGATTCACTAATTCCAGTGGAACTATTTCTATGAAGATATCATGAGATTACATCTTCATTGTTCCCTTATTTTTCATCAGCTGTCAACTTGAAGCCGTTCGTACCGATTAACTTGTTAAATTTTACTGCTTTCAGGTGATTTATAATTTTGTTGTATTGTTAAAAACTTTGTAACAAACATGATAAATAATACTCTTCAGGTGGTGATTGAGTCAGAACTTCACAACGGAAGATCATTGTTTATTTATTGTATATGTGTAAATATAAAGATTAACAGTGCTGTCGTCTTTTTTCTGCAGGAAATATGGTGGCAACTGGCATAGCCATGAAGTATAACAGTCACAGTTTAGACAAAAATATGGTAAAACTGGTCATTAACCCCTCGAGCACCAACAAACGTGAGGGTCAAATGTGGATAGCCGCTATGCAGAAGGTGAGAAATCGTGTTAACATATATATGCTTAAACGAACATCATAACTACCTTTTCTTAAATCTTTTTGAGAACTGAAAAAAAAGTATTACTCATCACTATAAAAATCCACATCCTTATTGATTTCTGCATGAAAAGGTCAAGATCAAAGAAACCTGTTTTGTGAAAAATCCTTTTTGTTGTTGAGAAGAGTTATTTACCATTTAGGACCACGAAAAACTTCGCAAGATGACTACGGTCATATACAGAATTTATAGGTGAAGAGCAGGTTAACCAATATTTCAATTTTTAAAAGCATGTTACAAGATGTAGAAATTCGCAGTTTTCAAAAGTTGGTCAAATTTGGGATGAAGAATAGGGAGTCGCTATCCAAAATAGATTTGGCAAGTAGTGTGGCCCGAGTCTTACAAAAGTTGATTATGGACTCAAATGGAAAATTGAGGTGTCTTTCTGCCTTGAAACTTGAAACTTGAGCAGAACAGCGATATATACTCATGGATCAAGCAGCAACTGCATTTATCTTGGGGAATGTGGAAAGTCACAGGCACATCAACCTACTGAATAAAAGAAAACAGTTATGAAAGCTCTCCCCTCAGTTTTATGAAATTTCAAAATTCAGTAATTCTACATGCATATGTACACATGTACAGCAACCAAAAAACATGCTTTGGTAAGTACAGGGTGAAAAATATAATATTAGACAATGTTTTCTTGTGGAAAAAGACTTCCAGTTGAAAAGTTTATAAATTTTGCCCAATTATTTACAGGCATTAATGTTTACATTTTTCAAGTTATTGGTTTTACCTATGAAGAGTTAGCTCCCTTGAAACAGTAAAACTGCAATACTAACAGACAAAGAACATTAATATGTGTTTTAACAAGTGCTAATGATTATTATTTAAGTGCTTTATTATTATTTTTTGTGTGGACAAATGTACAAATATATGCATTATTTTATTTGTCTAATTTTCATGTAAAATAATAAGCTTCATGTACAAAAGGACAAAAAATGTACTTGTATATAAAGTAACAGTTGCACAAGTGAGAAGGATTAAGGAATTGATCAGAGTACTTAAGCTGATAGTGTCAATATGACATTAGGCATAGTCTGTAAATATATGAATCTGTTAATGTTTTGATTTTGAATATATGTGTACATGTACTTCTGATGAAGTATGTAGATTCAGTCTTTTGCCGAGATAGTATCTGTTGTCACATGTACATTTGTCACACCTTCATCCATTGCATCAAAGGATCTCATTCCGTAATTAGATACATCAAATGATCTCACACCTTAATTAGTTACATCAAAGGATCTCACACCTTCATTAGTTTCATCAAAGGATCTCACATCTTAATTAGTAACATCAAAGGATTTCATTCCTTAATTAGATATATCAAAGGATCTCATTACTAAATTAGTTACATCAAAAGGATCTCAAACCTTAATTAGTTACATCAATGGATCTCATACCTTTATTAGTTACATCACATGATCTCAAACCTTAATTGTTACATCAAAGGATCTCATTCCTTTATTAGTCACATCAAATGATCTCATTCCTTAATTAGTTATATCAATTGATCACACACCTTAATTAGTTACATCAAAGGATCTCACACCTTTATTAGTCACATCACAGGATCTCATACCTTAGTTAGTTACATCACAGGATCTCATTCCTTAATTAGTTACATCACAGGATCTCACACCTTAATTAGATACATCAAAGGATCTCACATCTTAATTAGTAACATCAAATGATCTCAAACCTTAACCAGTTACATCAAAGGATCTCACACCTTTATTAGTCACATCAAATGATCTCAATCCTTAATTAGTTATATCAATGGATCTCATACCTTTATTAGTTACATCACATGATCTCAAACCTTAATTGTTACATCAAAGGATCTCATTCCTTTATTAGTCACATCAAATGATCTAATTCCTTAATTAGTTATATCAATTTATCACACACCTTAATTAGTTACATCAAAGGATCTCACACCTTAATTAGATACATCAAAGGATCTCACACCTGCATTAGTTTCATCAAAGGAGCTCACATCGTAATTAGTAACATCAAAGGATTTCATTCCTTAATTAGATACATCAAATGATCTCACACCTTTATAAGTTACATCAAATGATCTCAAACCTTTATTAGTTACATCAAAGGATCTCAAACCTTAATTAGTCACATCAAAGGATTTCAATCCTTAATTAGTTATATCAATGGATCTCATACCTTTATTAGTTACATCAAAGGATCTCAAACCTTAATTAGTCACATCAAAGGATTTCAATCCTTAATTAGTTATATCAATGGATCTCATACCTTTATTAGTTACATCAAAGGATCTCACACCTTTGTTAGTCACATCAAAGGATCTCATTCCTTAATTAGTTATATCAATTGATCACACACCTTAATAAGTTACATCAAAAGATCTCACACCTTTATTAGTCACACCACAGGATCTCATACCTTAGTTAGTTACATCACAGGATCTCGTTCCTTAATTAGTTACATCACAGGATCTCACACCTTAATTAGATACATCAAAGGATCTCACATCTTAATTAGTAACATCAAATGATCTCAAACCTTACCCAGTTACATCAAAGGATCTCACCCCTTTATTAGTCACATCACAGGATCTCATTCCTTAGTTAGTTACATCACAGGATCTCATTCCTTAATTAGTTACATCACAGGATCTCACACCTTAATTAGATACATCAAAGGATCTCACACCTTCATTAGCTTCATCAAAGGATCTCACATCTTAATTAGTAACATCAAATGATCTCAAACCTTACCCAGTTACATCAAAGGATCTCACCCCTTTATTAGTCACATCACAGGATCTCATTCCTTAGTTAGTTACATCACAGGATCTCATTCCGTAATTAGTTACATCACAGGATCTCACACCTTAATTAGATACATCAAAGGATCTCACATCTTCATTAGTTTCATCAAAGGATCTCACATCTTTATTAGTAACATCAAAGGATTTCATTCCTTAATTAGATATATCAAAGGATCTCATTACTAAATTAGGTACATCAAAAGGATCTCACACCTTTATTAGTTACATCACAGGATCTCATACCTTAATTAGTTACATCAAAGATCTCACACCTTAATTAGTTTCATCAAAGGATCTCACATCTTTATTAGTAACATCAAAGGATTTCATTCCTTAATTAGATACATCAAATGATCTCACACCTTTATAAGTTACATCAAATGATCTCAAACCTTAACCAGTTACATCAAAGGATCTCACACCTTTATTAGTCACATCAAATGATCTCAATTCTTAATTAGTTATATCAATGGATCTCATACCTTTATTAGTTACATCAAAGGATCTCACACCTTTATTAGTCACATCAAATGATCTCATTCCTTAATTAGTTATATCAATTGATCACACACCTTAATTAGTTACATCAAAAGATCTCACACCTTTATTAGTCACATCACAGGATCTCATACCTTAGTTAGTTACATCACAGGATCTCATTACTTAATTAGTTACATCACAGGATCTCACACCTTAATTAGATACATCAAAGGATCTCACATCTTAATTAGTAACATCAAAGGATTTCATTCCTTAATTAGATACATCAAATGATCTCACACCTTTATAAGTTACATCAAATGATCTCAAACCTTTGTTAGTTACATCAAAGGATCTCACACCTTAATTAGTTACATCAAAGGATCTCACACCTTTATTAGTCACATCAAATGATCTCAATTCTTAATTAGTTATATCAATGGATCTCATACCTTTATTAGTTACATCAAAGGATCTCACACCTTTATTAGTTTCATCAAAGGATCTCACATCTTACTTAGTAACATCAAAGGATTTCATTCCTTAATTAGATACATCAAATGATCTCACACCTTTATAAGTTACATCAAATGATCTCAAACCTTAACCAGTTACATCAAAGGATCTCACACCTTTATTAGTTTCATCAAAGGATCTCACATCTTACTTAGTAACATCAAAGGATTTCATTCCTTAATTAGATACATCAAATGATCTCACACCTTTATAAGTTACATCAAATGATCTCAAACCTTAACCAGTTACATCAAAGGATCTCACACCTTTATTAGTTACATCACAGGATCTCATACCTTGATTAGTTACATCACAGGATCTCATACCTTAATTAGTTACATCAAAGATCTCACACCTTAATTAGCTCTCAACTATGAATTAGGGGCATAAAAAGATCTCATTCCTTAAAATTAATTACCAAAGAATCTCACTTCTTAATTACAAAGGATCTACGCTTAAAGTTTCACTGAAGTCCATCTTTGTGTTATTCCAGGCGTTCAAACTGATACATGAAGCACGGATGATGGACAGACCATGAGAGAAGATAAGTTATGAAACAAAATCACCATGTTAAAGAAACATATGGCAGACATTGACATAAACGGTTTTGAAAGAAAAAATGTTTTCCAGATTAAAATGTTAATATAATTTAATAACGATGTAAATGCCTTATATGCAGCAAAAGTGCTTATAGCAGGGACTGGTTTTGCAAACAAAGCTTATTTTAAGGAATCAATTCCAGAACTTTTTATCTGGTACTGAATATGATTCAGTAATGTGAATGTGACTTCCAGATTTGAAATATGTTATATATGGCACTTAATGACTATCCAGATTGACAAAATTGCACTATTCTTTGGAACTCCAAGTCAACAAAAACAATATTGTCACAAAAGTCTGAATTGTTGTGATTTGATTACAATATACATTGTATATACCAATATTGACAAATTATTTAGAGAAATAGACCATTTCACACTAATTTTAATGGTTGTGTTGGGATATATATATATATATTTTTTGTTTTTACAATAATCTATAATAAGTTGAAGGTAGAACACTGGGTCCTCATGCTTTTTCTACCTAAATTTTACTGCAGCCTGTGTTTGTATGAATTGGAAAAATACAGTAACATTTGTATTAATTAAATTTCAAGAAAACATTTTTCTTCATCTTTTTAAGGCAGGAAACATATTTTGCTTATTTTTTTTGCAAGGGGAAGCTGTCCATTTTCGCATGTATTGATAACATACTAGTAATTCTGAATCATTCCTACAAGATATTTTAAGGGAGATAACTATAGTAAATATCATAGATAAACTCTAACACAAATAAAAATACCACCATACCACTGCTAAAAACTGTAATAAACTATTTTTTCGGACATGACTGTAGCTTTGATAGTTCATTTCTGAAATAAAAACGATACCTTGCTGGACTTTCATGAGAAATGATGAAGATGAAATGAACAAAACATAATCAACATCAGTGTTATGAGTGTAAAACAAATCAGCAGGGCTAGACCAGGATTCGAACCCTGGACTTCAGATTGATAGACTATCTCTCTAACCAATTGAGCTACCAGGTCAACAGAAGTGTCCAAGACCAACTGTGTTACTGTTATAGCCAGAGGAAAGTTAAGGGGAGGCTACTGTTTATAGGGGAAAAAACACAGTGCAGTGGGACAGGAACCCTTAATGACTGTGATGTTTATGTTTTAGTGGTTTGTATACACAGTCTTTGTCGATCACCAATGAAACGTCATGCACAAATTTCAGCACATGTTGAAAACTATGTCGTTACACTGAAATTAATTACGTTGATAAGTGCACAATTTTGAAGTGAAAAAATACACTTCGAAATCTGTAAGAAACTTTACTTTTTGAAAAAAATAAGGACAGTACGAAGAAGTAAAATGGTAATGATTTTGACTTTATTTGTCCATGTGGTTCAGTATTATTTGTCTTGGTGGTATATCTATTTCATTGAACACTACAGTTATATCATTTAAAATATTATATCTACTAATATAGCATTGTATCTTTGTACCAATATATCATAATGTCTGTCTCTCAAATACAGATGAACAGACTTATTTTTAATAGATTGTCTGCCAGATGACATTACCTCCCTTTGATATAATTTTCAGGAATTACCTCCCTTATACATTATTTTAAAATGGTTAAATTTTTAAAGTGAGCAAAATTCAGATGATAGTTACATACAAAAACATTTTAGACATGATAGATATCTTTGACACAATAAGATTCATTGTGCAATTGCCTGCATTTCAAAGACAGGTTCCTGTTGTTTTTTTTGTATTTTGGGGCATTTTTATTGTGTTTTCCATGTTATTATGTTAAAAATGACCAAATCATACACAAGAGTTCACAATATTAAGTAATCTCATTGTATTTGATGTGTTTCTCTATCCCATCTCAATGGGTTGTAAGCTTGCCAATGCTATTTATAGTTTCTTTGTGTTCTATCGGATTGGTCTACTTTAAATTTCTAACACAAAGGATTACAGAATTTACCTGTATCTCAACAGGTTCAACAAATATACACAAATACTACAAAAGGGTAGCATTAACTAAATCAAATAAAGTGTATCAATATTGTAATAGGTGTTATTAGATTGACTTAACTCATTTACCCCTGAAATGTCATACTGTATAAACTTTATTTATTTTACAACAATTATGAAACAAGTTATTTCAACTTATATTAATCACTCTTGTTGGCCCCGATGTTAGCCGGCGGAGGGTCTAAATGTGGGAGGAAACCGGAGTACCCGGAGAAAACCCACGTGGTCGGGCAGGTTACCCTATACCTTTGTCATAATGAACTATTCCAACCTTTGAATTGGAAGAGTTCAAATGTGTCTTCAGGGGTGAATGAGTTAATGTTAGCTTTATGCAGACACTGTACTTATCATTGGGCATGCCTGGGCCGGAAACTTTTTTAGTTTCTTTTTTGTTTGAAATTTCTGTCATTGGCGATATTAGTGTAAAAAAACCCAAAGAACATCTCTGATACAAGGAAAATAACAATAATGTTAAACATTATTCTAACAATTTAATATTAAAATTGAATGACAAATAACTGTTATTAATAAAAGTGTTCCTGTGATTTAAATTGAAATATTATTAAGAGATTATTTTCTCTAGTCGAAGACTGGGGATATATTTAATACTATAATTGTTATGTTTTCAAAATGTTTTGTTTGTAAATATTTGTAAATAGTTCTATGATGTGTTAGATTTTGTTTGTAACACACTACATACTGAATACATAAATAATATAGATGTTCTAATTTGATTTTTTGTTGACTACACAAGGGACTTCGAGTTAAAGGAGTTTCGTTATTTCTGAATTACAGTTTAGGACCGGCAAACTATTAAAAAAGCAGTTTATGTTACAATGTTTCTCTATTTCTGATGCATTTTATGTAGATTTTTTCATAAAGTCAATTTAATGCATGACTGCCAGTTTGTTTGTACCTGTTTAAGACATTAGAATATAATACACTGTATAGAAAGTATTAACATTGTATGTATAAAGATATTTGTGATCGTGAATCATAATGTTACAGAATATTGATTTGAATGAAAGCTGGTCAGTTCTGGTCTACTTTTCTGGTTTCACAAATATGAGGTATGAATCTTACATTTCTAGTGCTAATTAAGTCAAAAAGTTCATCTGTCAGTAGAATTCTTGTTGGGAAGAGGATAGGTTTGTTATTTCAATCAATGAGATTCCAATGCGGGAATTTGAAATAATTGTTTTATAATACAAATGTAGTTTGCATATATCTTGCTTCCTGCCTAATATTTCAGAATGAGATGCTTTTATTGCATAATACTTTTATATATGCTTCCTGTAGCGTTTTGACAATATAATTTGTCTTGTTGTAGTTAAATTTTGTAAAAGCTTGCCAAGGTCTCAATATATTTCCTATATTATGTTACACAATGGGTAAGGGTAGCTTAAATACTAGTAATGTATATAAACTAGAAGACTGAGTAGTTGATGCTTTTGCCAATTTATATGGGTTTATCAGGCATCTAAGTGCCGACCACACGGACACTATTTAAATTATTTCTATAGAAATATATGTCTGTAGTGGTTCTTCTAAATGTCATGTCTCATTTTTCAGTTAAAATGTGATATAAAGCAAAACGTGACATCATCAGAAAAAATCGATTTCTGTAAGGTTATTTTTTCTTATATAAAGGAAGCTTATGTATATGTGTCTTTTTGAAAAAACATAAGATTTAGAATACTACATCATAGTTCCACAGATTAATCACTTGCCTCCTCTTCAACAGTCGTTTGGGCTGCTGAATTACACTAAAACCTCTATGTAGGCTGTTAAAGGCCATTTTCTATTTGTCTATAAAGTCAATATTTTAGGTAATATGTCACACAACTGACAATACAACATAATATTGAGAGGAGTTCTTTTCAAATCACATATTCAACAAACTAAATCATATATGATATAAAGAATGTGAGAAAATATTATATTAACCAGATTGACATTGGTCAACAACACAATAAGTGGAATCTGTAAAGTAAAAAGTTATTTTCTCTTCAGTCTTTAGTAAGAAGAGATGGTTATCAGGCGTGTCTGTTGGAGTAGCAAGGGACCATGTTTCATCGACGAATCATTACCAGCCTATTGTTATAATTATGTACTGGAAATTTAAATCATATAATGTTTGTTATGTAACCACATGTGGCTTTAGGGACAGCAGGGAGAGGGGATGGTTCATGTTGTATTTCAGTTTGTTTTGTTGTCACCTCCGTTCCTGTAATTGTGTGTTATTTAAATATCAATTGTTTATTATTGTTTTGTTATGTCCTGTTGTTAATTAGTATTCTTTTTGTAAGTAACCTTTTTATAGTAACATATTGCCACTAAGTTACCACATTGTCTTTCAATAGAGGTTGTGTAGCATAAACCGATAGTCTGTTCACGTCAGAACAATATAAATATGTATAGCCTTGTATTTTTCAGCTCTCCAGCTATGCCAGATATCGTTGTCAGGGTTGAATACATAGTTCACCTTTTTGAATCATACATTATGCCTTCAAAGCTGATAGTTATTCTGGCATAGCAGCTACAAAATACAACACTATCTTATAAATAGAACTGGCATAGAAGCTACAAAATACAACACTATCTTATAAATAGAACTGGCATAGCAACTACAAAATACAACACTATCTTATAAATAGAACTGGCATAGCAGCTAGAAAATACAACACTATCTTATAAATAGAACTGGCATAGCAGCTAAAAAATACAACACTATCTTATAAATGGAACTGGTATATCAGCTACAAAATACAACACTATCTTATAAATAGAACTGGCATAGAAGCTACAAAATACAACTCTATCTTATAAATAGAACTGGCATAGCAGCTACACAATACAACACTATTTTATAAATAGAACTGGCATAGCAGCTACAAAATACAACACTATCTTATAAATAGAACTGGCATAGCAGCTTCAAAATACAACACTATCTTATAAATAGAACTGGCATAGCAGCTTCAAAATGCAACACTATCTTATAAATAGAACTGGCATAGCAGCTAAAAAATACAACACTATCTTATAAATGGAACTGGTATAGCAGCTACAAAATACAACACTATCTTATAAATAGAACTGGCATAGCAGCTACAAAATACAACACTATTTTATAAATAGAACTGGCATAGCAGCTTCACAATACAACACTATCTTATAAATAGACCTGGCATAGCAGCTTCAAAATACAACACTATCTTATAAATAGAACTGGTATAGCAGCTTCAAAATGCAACACTATCTTATAAATAGAACTGGCATAGCAGCTACAAAATACAACACTATCTTATAAATAGACCTGGCATAGCAGCTTCAAAATACAACACTATCTTATAAATAGAAACATGGTATGATGTACTATGTATCAGATGAAAAATAAAGAGAAAAGAGACTTCTCATTTTTATTGTAAGGCTAAATTCAGGGTAGTGCCTTCCACATTATCTAGTGTACTGGACAAGAATTTTGATACTTAGCTTCCTCCGTGTCTTGTATACTGAACAAGATTTTTGGGTATTCCCTTCCCCACTTTCTAGTACACTGAACAAGGTATTTTGGATTCTGAGCAAAGAAATACTGAATTAATCTGTCTTAAAAACAAAAAAAGGCATACTAATGTTCAGTACAAGTAATGAACTTGTGTAAACAAGTAATATACAAACTATGTGTATTTAGGCACAATTTGTATATAACTTTTTTTTTCTTGAATCAAATTTGTTTGATTTCGACAATGTTTATCATGTAGCATTCATGCATATTGTGTACATTATTTTCTTGTGTTTAAAATGGCAAAGTAATAACTTGATAGCAAAATTATTTACTGTTTGTATTAATCATCTTAATGGGTAGCACAACGTTGTAATTTTGATGTTAAGTATAGATACAAAGATTTATGATAATGATAACGATAACAAATTATCAATAAAACTGAATTAGAGTTTGAGATCTATTCTGTGGGTACCATTGATAAATAATTCAGAAAGCTTACATATAGGAGAAACATCTCTATAAATCATTCTTGATCCAATAAGAACAATGTACGATTTTGTACAATATTATGTATGGAGCAGACCGGTGATGAAGGTCTGTCTCGAAAATTTTAAATGAGAATGTAATATTTGTAAAGTTGGTGCTCCCACTTAAACTGTCTTATGTATATAGTTTGTATATATTTGTAAATAAAACTTAATCGAGCAAATTGTAATGTGTTATCATTAATTCTTTCTGGGGTCAGATCTTCATTGATGTACTTTCGGAAGCCGAAAGTAGAAGGTAACATAAAACGGGGAAACAAGTGCTGCTGAATTATTGTTTTCAGAAAAGATTTCTTTCTTGTCCCTTTTGCAGTCAAGCTGACATAAAAGGAGTTTGCTGTTCTGAACACATCCTTCAAATTCCTCCAAGACAGTAACCTTCTGCAAGACAGATCAAACGAACCTAAGAAGTATTACAAAGAAGTATGGAATTTGTTACCGTTTTCGGAATAATTGGCGCCGAGTGCCAAAATTCAATGACTCAAATAAGAATAATTTGCTTTGTATGCGAGAACTTTTGTTTTTGCTCAAAGAAATATCAATAGAGGTTTGTTAACTTCAGTTGAGGTATATATATGTACTATTGTGACAAAGTGATATCTGAAATGAATGGAATAACTGCTGGTTTTCTGGCATATTTCATCTGTTTACAGAGGTTTGTGATATTCACAGCAACAAAAAGAGAATTGCATTTATTGCACTATGGGCGCTAATTCAGTCGAACCTGAAAAATAAAATTATTTGGCAAAAGGGAATGCTTTCCTTATAAAACGGATTCACAAAACTGATTTTAAAAACAATCATGTTCTTAAAAATTACTTGGATGTTAAATAATTAATGAAACTTCAAGGAATCGTAAAATAATACACAATATCATATATAATTACATAAGCTTTCATGTTTATTTCAATATTTTAATTCTGGAATAATCATTTTCAGACCCCCCCAGCGTAATACCAAAGTGTCATCAAACCATAATTCGAACTCAAATCGATAAAAAAGGGCAAAATATGAACAAAGGAAAGATCAACATGGAGTCAACACTGAAAAAGTACAAGGGTAATGAGACCAGGTGTTCCGGAAGGGTATTCGTCTTTTGCTTCATCAACGATACCCGCCATGTAAATCTAAGTCTCGTAAAGAGAACTGGGGAAGTGACAACAACGTTACAAGACTCTCTAATGAGCTTAATAAAAAAACATCGACCTTCATATCACTCACCGTAATAGCATAGGTCCCTGCGAGATCCTGATGGCGACCAGAAAGCTTGTCCATAGTCTTCACCAACCTGCGTCTTTTGAGACCCTTTGTTATTAGTTTGTCCGTCAGCAGTCGGCATCTATCACGAAAGTCATGATATTCGGGGCCAGTTCTTGTTTACTGACTCATTTGCAACATGTAAACACCATATATAGGGGAAAGCAGGAATGTTGCTATCAAGAATGGGAAAGTTAAAGGTAGAAAATCGAAATCGTTCCCCTTGTCGAACAGCTTAGTGATCAGCCGTCCCTGTTGGTCATGTTGTAAGTAAAGATTGAGGAAAGCGACTTAAGTCGAAGAGTCTGTGGCGTCTTTGATTTCAAGTCCTGGAGGGTATTTGAAATCGATGTGATCAATTCCGTCTTTGCGTATTGCAGAGTTATCTTCTCTTGGGAGCAGGTATTGATTGTTACGTCATTGGTTTGTGAGAGTAACGTCATCATTTTATGAGAAAACGACGTAATTTTCTCACCCAACCCAATGCCGTAACAATCAATACCTGCTCACAAGAGAAGATAACTCTGCAATACGCAAAGACGGAATAGATTTCTTGTTATTCAAAGACAGCATATGGTCGATATTGGAATGGAAACATGTAGTAAAATTCATTCAACTTTATAATTATTTCTTCAAACTGCAAAACCATGAAACATATTTTAAATCGCTTAACATCATGTGTACTTAATAATTCTATTCTATTAAAAAGGGCGATTATTATGAACGAATTAATGTGTTTTTACTAAACAAATGTTAACGATAACACACCTTGCCATGCTGGTGTATGTTTATGTTGGGCTGTACACTACAGACGGACGTACATAGAAACGCTGCTGGTCTCTTGATGTGTAGAAACCTGTAGCACTTGATAGTGTTGTACCAAGGAAAGTCTATGCTTTTTCATCTCGTTTTATATCACCGAACAACCGTATGTCAATATTTGCTTCTCTCTCCACATTTGTCGTAATCCGAGCTTTTGGCTTTGGAACGCTATAAATGCACCGGTGCGATCCTTGTTTGATCGTGTCCCAGGGAACATTTCTGACAATTCTACATGTTATCAGTCTGCAAATTCAATTTATCAATATTATTGAATAAGTTTACACTGCCTTACTGAAAGCCTATAAAACACTGACAAATGCTGATATGATGGATTTTGCAGCGTTCGAACAACACAGATACCGGCGTGTGTCCTACTAGCACACAGAATGAGTACAGTCTGTAACCATATGACCCGTCCCGTCATGGCCAGCACATAGCCCAGTACAGAATGAGCACCATACATAACCATACGACTCGTCCCGTCAGCACATATTACACAGATCTAGCATAGTATCTAACCATAGGACTCATCCCTACAGCATATAGCACACGAAATAAGTACAGTTTTTTTTATTCATATATGACTCTGATCACTAAATATGCTCAATATACATAGCGAAGGATATCACAACAACGTTTTATTGCTACAGAGACAATTGATAAGTATTTAATTTTGAACATTTCAAACAACTCTTTTTACAAATTTTACTCGTAACGTTATAAAATATTTATACATGTGACCTGTATTTCAGCATATTTTGTACCTTTGGTTTTAATGATGAATGTTAATGGATGAAATGACCATATGGTGTAATTAATATTTATCATTTATTTGGGTTTTTGAATTGACTTACATTACTTCATTACTTCGATTTTCTAGTGATTATCTAATTCTGCTACAGCAAAACCATCTCGAATAGGGATTTAGAAAAGACATGTTTCAAGCATTTTTGGCTATTTTACAGTTTCGACAGCATTCACTTATGAATTGTATAAGTATGCAGATGTTTGCTTGTCAACTCCACTTGTCTCCTATATGTTGTTTTCGCAATTTCTCAATAACTATTCCACGAGAATTTACAAAGTCTTAACGTGCCAGTCCAAGTAAATTCCGATTTAGATAAATTTTCATAATAATCTCTATACTTAGTATCAGAAATTGGTTAAAACGTCTTTTTTTCCAAATATATCATCATTGCTGACGTCGTACGTAAAATTTGATGACGTTGCACGCATATTTTGAATAGCTAATATAACGAATTTCTTTCTTTGAACATTCTTATCCTGCTTATTTGTGGTCTTATGGGACCAATCTACGGGAGCAATAGCAGAAGAAATTATTTGAGTTTTGTTGAATATTCTTTGAGTAATAAAAATGGGAGTCCAAAAGACGAGTGAAAAGACAGAAATTGGAGCATGCCATCCTGTTTTCATAGGATCTAACCAACTTAACTACGTTATACCAGTGTATGGCATCATATCACAACAGTATTATGTTACAGAAAAGATAAGTAAATGAAATGGATACTATATCAGATTTAATAGTAAATGTTTTTTTGATTTTTTTAATTTTCTCGGCAGAAAATAGAAATGGAGACTGCCGGGGTTAAAGAGCTCTGGTTTCAGCCACCGAACAATAATGTGTCATCACCTGACTTAGGAGTGCTCTCATGCTTCCGCATGCTTTCTCGCGTATTTTTGAATAGAACAAATACAATACTTGAATCAAAAAATCAAAAAATCATATTGGGGTTACCTAGGGCTATCTCCGGGTATCCTTGCACTAGGACCCCTAGGTTCCTGCATCATCTCGCCTGGTGTGTCCTGTAAAGTACTAAACTTTGACTGATGTATACATTGATATCAGAGTTTTACTTAATACGCAAACAATGTACGTATTAAACGTGTCGCAACGTTTCAATACCAACTGGTCCCATTCGTCAAGCTATGACTATGATGTATACTCTGATATAGAAATACCATTATGCCAGAACTCTTTCGATTAAGCTAAAGACTGATTCGTTAGAGGTTGGAACATATTCTTTATTTGCTGACTATTCAAAGTATAAACGTTTTGACATTATGAAATTGGTTGAATTTTACGTATCTTTAGAAGGCCCTTTTCTTCGGCCCGGGTATGCTATTAACACATTAATAAACATATTTTATTGAAGATAATATATTCCGTCTTTGCGTATTGCAGAGTTATCTTCTCTTGGGAGCAGGTATTGATTGTTACGTCACTTGTTTGTGAGAGTAACGTCATCAATGTTTGAGAAAACGACGTAATTTTCTCGCACAAACCAATGACGTAACAATCAATACCTGCTCCCAAGAGAAGATAACTCTGCAATACGCAAAGACGGAATATACACATCTTAACGTAGTATAATCTGTCACATTGTTTTTTCTTCCACTTTTATTTTCACCTGTGTATGGGCCTGTAAGATGGTCAGCACATGGCTGTTTGGCAAAAATATTTTTGTCAAATTATTTTAGCAGAGTTCTGTCCAGTTTCAATAATATATAAAACAGACATTTCTAGACATGATTTAAATGGTGAGTGGGCCTCAGCTTGAGGAGAGCTACTTGTATAGTTGCAATACATAATTTCCAACTTTATGAAATACGTTTAAAAGAGAAGATATACTTATTAAAATGATATTATTAAAATTTTGAGTTAGATTGCTTAACAAGATAAATATCATCACAACCAAGCCGGAAGGCATATCAAACATCAGAAACTAGGAAAGGAAAATTTCCAGATGAAATTAAACTATATACTATGAAAGTTAATGCCGCTGGTCAATATCATTAATCTATTCTACAATGCATATAGACAAACATGTCGGGATGAAAAGAAGATGATAATTAAATATTCACTCATGTGTATTTTTATTATATATATTTACATTTCACCAGGCATAACATGTATAC